TAATACTACAGTAGTAGCTAACATTCCAAAATCAGTCATTCGTGTCTTGAGCAAAAACTGTGCTATTCACAATATCGAGGTACTTCTATCCGAAATAGTGTTCATGATAATTAGATAGTGCCTGACGTGGAAATATCCGGATATTTGGTTTCACAGTCAGACCGCCGAATTTCCAAATTACTGTCAAGCCTATTCAGGAAGGGCCATGCTGATCAAAAGATGTACATTATTCGAAATAACTAGACTTCTTACGACTTTTGAGCATCTCCAAGAATACTTATTTCCCATTGGCTGCCGACTAAATATATTGATATGTCGGAGTCAAAGGACACAACAGCAGGCACAAAGGCCTCTCAAAAGTACAAACATAGCAACGTACTACATAGTAGAATATATGCATCAGTGGTAATTAAGGTCACTGTAACGATCGGTCACCTCCAAATCAATCGTTCTTGACGAGTGGAGTTTTACCATTCCGTTCAAAGTCATTGAAATGCTTGGACAGCGTTTGACAGGCTAAATCCTTCAAACTTTACTTGAAATTGCCACCTAACATATCTGAAGGTGATACCCTGCATGATGCATCACTAATGTGTCCTAAGATTTCGAGTAATTGCAAAAGTGCAGACCGGGGTTTCGGGGTTTCGGAGTTTCGGGGTAGGAAGAAACTAGTGGTAAATTACTCAATTACTCGATAAATGACAAGATGCTGCTACATTTTGGAAATCTGGCGGTCTTTTGGAAATGATTGGATATTTAATTTGTTCAGCGGCTGTTGTGATGGCCATCCGTGACTGACAAGAATATAACTGATTTCGTTTGATTCCTAGTTTTATCCTGACTCTTCCTTAATATCACGATACATCATGCAAACTGGTTTTACAGCCTATTAGACAGATTTCGAAACTCTCGTCGTACATTTCCCGTGCAGTAAAATTATAGGGGACAGGAAATGCACGGGCTTACGCCTGGCCGATTTCGAACGAGCTTGCCGTTCTCTTGCCATATCCGGATTTATCCAGAAAGCAGTTGAGTGACTTCACGCGACATCGAAGTCATGCTCACCATAGACGAAGTAGCAGTGCTACTTCGTCGACGCAAATGCATGACGTTCCAACGCTGCATGAGACTGTTGGGTCTCATCGAATCTGCTGACGAGCGACCTCTTGTTCATGCAGCTCGTTTTGTTCTTGCTGCCATCTCCGATGCCGATTACAAGCTGAAGTTCCGATTAGACTCGAATGGAATCTTGAAGTTGTGTTGTGTGCTCCGCATTCCCAATGTTATTGTGACCGATGCCAGCGATAGATGCTTTGGTAACGAAGCACTATGCATTCTGCTCAACCGCTCTTCTTATCTGCGGCGCTATTACGACATAATGGCAATGATTGAGTGGTCCCGGGAATCAATCTGTCGCATATTCAACCTGTTGGTGGACACTTTGTACGATGAATGTAACTGTGTGTTGTACTGCTGTTTGGCGATTGTCAAGACTGAGGGCATACGCAGCCGCTATCGCACGAAAGGGCGCCCTCATGGAGAACATCTTTGGATTTATCGATGGTTTAAAATTGGAAACGTGTTGCATTACCCAAACAAAATGTCGCGTGGCGAAGGATGAGCATGGCGACTTGCAGCGTCTCATCTGCAGTGGCCACAAACGCTGCCATTGCCTCAACTTTCAAGCCGTCACTGGGGGACCCCCAAAAATAGCACAAGTCACAAGTTTGTGTTTGGCATATGTTGTGGATGTGTCACTGTATGTGTTGCGTTTATCTTTACATGTCCAAGATGTGCCACCGAAAAATTAGGAGCACAAGTTCCAAAAACGACTGGCTTAAATTGTTTTGGTCAGCACTTGCGAATCTGTCTGCTCCACGTTAATGGGAGGCAAGCTCCTCTCACTCCTGGCGGCACGGCGATGGTCTCTTCAGCATGGGAAAGGACATGACTCCTTTTCACGCTGATGATGCGCTTGCGAATGAAGGTTAGGACTCACAACAAGGTCAATAACACATATAATAATGATTGTCTTATGAATTATAGATTCAATCATCTGCCCTCGTTAAAACGAAAGATATCCTATGGTTCAAAGGGTCTTCAAGCGACCGAAGAAGTTCTCAACGATGACTCGGTCGCTGGAAATCCGGTCGTTGGTACGTAATTCGTCAGCCGTCAGCACGCCTCCAATTGGCTTTTTGGTTTACTCGTTTACAAGCTAATAAAGCAGCTATTAAAGCTATGATAGTTAATAGAATTAGTGATTTAGTTTTGCTTTTAGGTATTTTTATATTATTTAATAATTTAAAAACAGTAGAATTTTTTAGTTCTTTTGCTACTATTTCTATTTTACAAAATTATACTTTTTTATTTTTAAATTATTATTGGTCTATTATTGATATCAGCACGCCTCCAATTGGCTTCTTGGTAGGAAGCACCGCGCGAACTTCTCTTTGTATCCCTTGGTAGCCTTTGTCCACAAGGATCGCATATTGACGTGCCCCACCAACTCGCTCAGAATCATCCAGGCGGTCGTCGTCGCCTTGTTTGGCAAGGCCATTCGCGTGGAATTCCAAGTTGTCGTCGAAAATGGATTTATCAGCAACGCTGCCTTTGTAGTGCTTGGTGCAATTGATTGCAAGCCCATTCGGGAGCACCGACACTTCCACCTTATGCCCATAGAGCGAGTGTTTGCCACTGTAATACGACTTCTTCTCAGCATAGCTTCCGGCAGGGACATTCGTTTGTTGAAAGGTCACGTCCGTTGCATAGGGATAGTTGGTGAAGCGATCCCCGTTGGCAGCTAGCTGCGACATCGTCCATTTGCAGAACCCCAATATATGTCAACACACGCTTTTGAAAGGTAGCACTCTTTTGTTTGAACACAGCGGCAACGATGTCCCATGATCCACAGTGTTTAAGTGACGTCAACATCATCAGACGTAAATCACGGCCAGTGACCTCGGATTTGCGCCCCGAACCAGTGTTCCAATGCTTCGAAAGGTATTGCCGTATGTCCGCCCACAAGATGTTGAACTCAGACGGGCTGAAGTTGGTCATTGTCCGAATACCATCAAGTCCTTGGTCGTTGACGAAGGCATCGTAGATTGGGCTTGTGGAGTCAAGGTTTTCATCGGGTTCTTCCGCGCGTACGGTTGAGTATCGTGCTCTCTTGGCTTGGCGTTGCTGGTCGAGGTTGGTATGCAGAGCTAGACCTTGGCTGATGTAGCGTGAGGTTAGTGGCGGGGCAGCCTGCGAGCCTTGAAGACTCGCTCTGCGTGCCATAGTGGTCTTTTTGATTGTGTTTATAGTTGGTTCAGGGCTGCTCTGATGTGCAAGTTTGTGTGTTTAGTGATTGGTCTATAAACGAGTCTGTGCTCATGGAAAGGACTGAGTGATTTCCAAAAACATTGATTGGTTGATGCTTGACTAACCATCCACTAAAAGATCCAATCATTTCTCTTGTAGTGGACGTTTGACAAATGATAGAGTTTCAAATTATTACCTTGATGACTGACCAGTCAGAAAAATCCCTCCATGAATTCATAATAATTCGTGTAAAATGTACAATCATTGGTCAAAACATAAATCTATGATCTAGAGGTCTATTGGTGGCTGCTCCAATTTTCACTTATCCAAGCATGTTTGTATTTGGTTTTTGTAGATATGGTATCAGTGTTAATTTTTACTACTTTGTTGGCTTTTAGCTGTAGATATTACCTACTATTGTAGGGGCCTTTTGGGAAGGTACACCGTGCACAGAATTTGTAAAAATTGCCCCACCGCTGAGTGATGTACTCAGAGGTGGGGCCAGTACCGTACATGCATTCGTCGCCTCGTCATCTCTCGGACGCGCTACATGATGGGCGTCAATTATCCGAACAGCTATGACCACCTCTATCTCGGCCAATACTGGTCCAAATTCACTCATTCTTCGTCTGGCCCCACCGTTGAGTGATGTACTCAGAGGTGGGACCAGTACCGTACATGCATTCGTCGCCTTGTTATCTCTCGGACGCGCTACATGACAGGCGCCAAGTTGCCCCCCGGCCCTGCTGCCAAAAGGAGCCGCCCTTCTGATCCAAGGGTGCCACGAGAAATTTGATGTTTATGTAGCATAAGCTGATTTTATCATTTGTTCGTAGTGGTAGTACACAGACAAGCATCCAAATTCTACCATTATAGGCCGGCATAGAGCAGGTCATGTCTACATGATGGCTGTTCGGATAATTGACGCCTGTCATGTAGCGCGTCCGAGAGATGACGAAGCGACGAATGCATGTACGGTACTGGCCCCATCTCTGAGTACATCACTCAGCGGTGGGGCCAGGCGAAGAATGAGTGAATTTGGACCAGTATTGGCCGAGATAGAGGTGGTCATGGCTGTTCGGATAATTGACGCCTATCATGTAGCGCGTCCGAGACATAACAATGCGACGAATGCATGTACGGTACTGGCCCCATCTCTGAGTACATCACTCAGCGGTGGGGCCAGGCGAAGAATGAGTGAATTTAGACCAGTATTGGCCGAGATAGAGTGATTAGTTGGCGGCGATGATCGCCGACAGACGCAAGATTGTATTAGCTGTCAAAAATGTTAAGTAAAATAGCTTATGCGTGTCATAATATTTACACGCGCAAGTCCCCCGATTCCGTAAAGTTGTTATTGAGAAAACACGCGTGATTCCCCCACTTTTCATAACACGAGTAAAAACCCCAAAAATCACGCGTGAAAACACTTTTCCCGTTTGTGTTGCACATCGCACAAAATTACTCTGATTGTTTATACAAATGTTTGTAGGTATTAGGAGGTAAAACAATGGATTGGACTTCACGTTCCCATCAATGTTCGTGGACATCGCGTTTCAACTTCCAACGAGTCATGTCAAAAGCAAGCAAATGACGCGGTAAGTGTTGGTGTGCGGCGTCGGTTGATCTCTTGCTCGATCACGTCCAAGAGATATTGCCTCTTGGCAAAAACGGCTGGGCCAAGGTCGAACTCGAATACAGCAAGGCTAATAGCGCATACCCAGAACACGATGGTGAGTCTCTTAAGCGCAAGTACCAGCAACTTCACAACAATCCTAAGCCAACTGGGAACCCCGAGTGCCCGTCTGAAGTTTCGACGGGCTAAATTGCGCGTGATATTGTTACCAAGGCAGACGTCCTCTCGTTTGGAGATGAGTGAGAGGAGGACGACGGCGAAGCACCATGCACGCCAACACCATTCACCCCGACAAAGGGTTCATGACATTTGAAACTGTGAATTCACGTAGATTATGTAGATGATGAGATCTCTGACGAGCTTGGTAAGCCGAACCGAACTGAACTTGCCAGAAATGAATTGGTTGACCTTGGAGCCTCCTTCAAGCGAGCACGCGCTTGTGAGAGTATTACAGTACGCAACTTTCCTACGTGCCGAAGAAGAGATTGTCAATCGACAAGTTCATTGACAATGCTGCGGCGGCAGATACCAAATCGACAACGGACTTCATATCCATGATGGCTACGATGGACGAGATTGCTGCAATCATTGCCAGTCGCCTTGACCTTTGGATCACTGTAAACCACTTTTTCTTCAACTCGTGTAGCTACAATAATACTAGTAATAGAAAATAAATATTTATACTATATCCAGATGATCCAATAATATGTATGGATAACTTGGCGAATACGACAATTCTGTCCGACATTAGTCTTATTGGTTAAAAGTTCAATATTTCGTAGGCTTTCATTGGTAGATGACACTTCATTTTCAATACAAAGACCAAATGTCGTGTGTTGATTTTTCTGACAAGGTGAGACATACTGTAAACTGTGAGGACACGGCGTGGCTCCGGGTGCCACGTGCATTGCGTGCAGAGGCTGCAAGCGGCCTGACCACAGTTCTTGGTGTGTCCCATGGAGGCGTGGGTACAGAAGTCCTATCACCTCCAGGGACATTGAAATGGCTTTACTCCAGTGACGGCGATGCTGTAGAAAACATTGTTCCCCACGCTTCTCACTGCGGACGAGCATACAGCCATCGACACATACCTTGCCCTCCCGGCGGCGGCCCAACTCGCGTACTCGCGACTCTTCCAGCGCAAAGGGCCGTGGTTTCGCACAACGTCCCTTTCTGCGATCACCGACCAGCTGCATCCAGACCCATAGTCGTCTGTGCCGCCGCTCCAGACTGCTCTTGACGCCCTTGAGACCGCCTCATTCATCCGGTGCTGTCCCAACGACCCGTACGTCGATGCTCTAGACGCCATGAAGTCTGCATGTACCATTCTCGAGATACTAGCCGTGATGGTCACCACTGGCGCGTCCAAGTCGAAATCCGCCGCTCGGTACAAAACCAAGGTCATTTCCATTGACCTTTGTTTTGTACGGAGCGGCGAATCTAGAAATGTTACAGTTAAAGATGCCATGCCGAAGATAAGTGAGTGTCAGTACAATGGAAAAAATAGTGTAGCGTGGTCGCCGTCCTCTTGAGTCGCGTCTCCAATTTCGAGTTGGTGACGCGACCCCTCGTTTAGTAGACACACCAACGTTAGCGTGCTGCAGTATTCGTGAGTTTACCATCGACAACACGTCCCAAATGTGGCACTGCCAGCTCGCCTGGTGACTGTACAGTACATCAACGTCGACAGGTTGACGAGCTTCGGTGGTGTCGGCTCAGCGACGCATAGCCCCGAGTAGATGTGTAGTTTCATTGCTAAGGTCGATAAGTATGTCGTATATAGTATCCATCATAACTCCGATTGTGCGAATTGGTGTATCAGTGAAATTGTTGCTAATGCAGGTGTTCAACACATGCACCGGAACACAAACGCCTTCGAGCTCCAGTCCAGTGGCCCTGGCAACACCCGATTCCTGCGAATTCATAGAGATGATGAACATGCCGTGTGCGTCGGTGGACGATCGTCTAAAGATGTCGTTTTTGGATGTACTGTACATCAAGCACAACAGCTACTTCTCTGTACTCGTACTATTAATAGTCAAAACTCGTCACCTTGTTTGTCGAGCTCTGATGGACTTCAATTGAATTGCGAGTGCCTTGTATCCGGAATCCGCATGGTTGGTCTCTGTTCGATATCCCAAATCCAGACGAAATTTCCACAAATCAGATTGCGTTCCATCATGGTTTTTCGTCTCGGTATTTTCCTCTGACTGCAAATTGCAAAATGAAAAGTGATTTTGAATTGACTAATCATATTGCTTATACGGATAACTAACCGGGCTGTCGGAATACTGCTCTGGTCCAAACAAATGTATTGCATTTTTTATCTTGATTAAAGTATGGAAGGGCAGAAAAAACATCTTGATATTTGTATTGAACCTTTAAAACGCATATTCGAACACAAAAATTTAATGACATTTTATTTTATTACGGTTACTGCTCGGATTTGGGAATTCATTTAGGCGCCCATGTGAGCAAGTGCTTTTTCATGGACGAGTGGATCACAACGGACATTAAGCTCCTCGATGGATCGAGTGCACTTTTGACTTTGTAGACTTTGTATTGAATTGAAGTATCCTAAATCCAGGACATTAAAGTCTGGACTATTAGGAGGCTGGTTCGCAGCTTCAATGCCAATAACACCAGACTGAAGCAGCAGTTGCGTGGTCACACTATTATGTGGACTCGCATTATCTTGCTGCAAATATATTGTTTTATTTTGGTCTTGACGAGGCATTTTTGCCTTAATTGCAGGAATAACGTTATCAAAAATCATCGAACGGTACACATCCGATGTCACATTCTGTGGGACAACAATCGGGGTACCTTTTGGACGATTTCGACTTGAACGTTGGGCCAAGACAGTCTCCACAAAGGGCCAAATACCAATCTTGCCATCGAATATGCATTTCTTGTGGTGGTCGTATCTTGGTCGTGTCACGGCCGCGAGGAACATCACTTTGGTTATGTACCGTTTCGACTTGAGATGGCGCTTCGGCAGGTCTTCATCTTCGTAGGCGTAGAATGCCTTCTTGACTGTCGTCAAATTGAACCATTTCTCATCAACATGCACAAATGAGTACATGTTGTCGAAAATGGTTCCCTTTGACGACGGGCGTAGAAATGATAGCGCATGTTCCATGCGGGTCTTCGTGTTGGCTTCCGTCAAGAGAGGCTTTGAATAACTTGACTTCAACTTCAACGTCTTCGCCCGTTGCATGTGGCGAATGATCGTTGACTTGGACAGTCCTGATTTGGCAGCAAGTGTGCGCAAAGTTTGCCGTTCGTACAATGGTACGGCCCGAATCAAGCTTTCTATTTCTTCGTCAGTATGTTGAACCTTGCGATTGGTATTGCCTAATATCATGCAACACTTTAAATTAATACTTGTGTGATTTTATAAACAGTCACGAAAATATTATAATTAAGAGGTTTTACCCTTGTATTTTGCCGACATGGCGGCCGTCGCACTGCCTTCGCGGAGTGAGCTGCGTCCTCGAGCCCACACGTTCGAAATCGTCTGGCTCGAGCAGTTGAAGAGTCGGGCAGTACGAGTGATGCATCCATGAGGCAGGTCTCCGCCTTCGCTTCTTTCCAGAAGCGTTTCATAGATGCAATGCCGCTGTTCATCTGAGAGCTTCTTGTTCCCAGTGCGGGGGACGAAGGCAGTTAGAGAGCGTGGCGATGGCATAGTTCGTTTGGGAATGTAGTTTGCAAGAGAAGTTGTAGTGACCAGGAAGGGTGTAAATGCAATATGAGACCACAGCGGGTCGTTAAGTTTGCTAAGGGATGTGTGGGCAACTTCTTGCCGCCATAACTTTTGAGCAAAATGGAACTAGTTTGCTCGGAAATCATCCAATCAAAGTGGAGATCTTGCGCTTTCATGTGAGCCAATTAGATCGGTTGTAGGCAAACAATTAGAAAAATTCCGCCAATGACGAAAAAAGCCAATACATTTGTTTGGACCAGAGTAGTATATCATTCTCACGTCGGAATTTTTATGTTATGGTGATGATGAACAATGTACAACTGTACCAAATTGTTTGAGGAGCGAAAAGTTGATGATTTCCCGCAGGTCCCAAGTTCCATAAGCTTATACGAGGAAGATGCGGTCCTCCGGCTCCAGGGTGGTGACGCGCCACGCCCCCGCCGCCTCAACTGTTGGCTGCCGACTTCGTTCCATGGATATAGCAATGCCGGCCATTGTTGCTTTTGCGGAGGTCAAGTTCAACAAGAGGCAACCGCGGCGCTCACATTGCACCACTCGAGTCCATTTCCAAGTAAGCTGTGGTGCTGCGAGGTTTGTTATTTGAAAAGGACTGAGGGATCGAAGCTCCTATTGTACTACTAGTACTGTACATGGAAACGCTGGAATGGTTTCACGACGGAAACGCATTCCCTCAACGAGTGTGGATTGACGACAAGCGACAAGGCCCAGCGTTGCTCACGTAATTTATGTAATGTTAAAAGTGATGGTCAGAAATTTCATCGAGTCCCATGAGTCAATCGGAGTAAGGTTAGGAATTCAAACCATGATTCTGTCACCCTCTAATTACGATGCTTGAGGTCCAGTTGCACGTCGAGTTCAAGCGCTGCTGCCTGTGCTACTACTATAAATCGTCCCTTTGATTGTAGTCCATCCACATGGCTCGATCGATGGCGAAGATTTAAAGGCCAAGTTCGAAATCCATTTGCAAGTTTTAGCCGCCCTCGGCATAGCTTAAATTGTCATAGCAAGCATGCTGACTAACACTAGCAAGGCTGCAGATGCCACAGCTGTGCCACTTCCGTTGGTGGTCGCTGCGTTGGGGGCTAGGGTCGTCCGAGCCACGGCACCAAAGGGCAACTTAGCCGCCCCCGTCGTGGAATTGTCGGGCGTGTACCGCTGTTGCTTATTGGCGAGACCTCCGTTGCACTTTGGCTGGTACACCGAGCACTCCAGAATCGGGACTACACCACCACCATGCATCCTCATGAGTGATATCTTGGCGTCGGAATCCTTACCTTTGGGGGTTGGGGGCAACGCCACGGTGGGGAAGTTGACAGGGCAAGTCATCGTAGTGGTTCGAGTCGGCACGAACGACTTGCTGTTGATGGTGGACGGCTTGGTGGTCTTGAACGCATCGGCCAAGAACGTGAATTCGGGGTACTTGTTGTACTTGCACGGAACGCCCTCGTGGTCACAGTTGTCTGGGGTAAAATACCCGATGCCATACCGACCAGGGTCCGCAGCTGCAAACGGAGGTGTTGCTATGGACATAATATGATCATACCTGAGCATTCATTGATGGTTTGATTCCATACCAGACTTGTCAATCAAGTTTGCCTTTTCGACACTGTACTCGAACGCTATCCCCCCGACGACGTACTCGGTCATGTCTGGCGCTTCGTTCATCCACTTGGCCTATCACACATCATGTCAAGTCAGCAATAGTCAAACTTTGTAACAGCGTACGTCGTAAAAGTTGCGTTGCTGTTCGATGCCACTGACGGTATTAACGACTTTAATGCACCCAAACTCGCCCAAGACAATTGGGCGCGAGTATTTCGATTGTTTGTAGTCACTCACGAGCTTTTGCAGCCCCTTCGAGTCTTCATACGTGACATGGGTGGTCGTGTCGCATTCGACATATGGGTTGAACCCAATCCTACGTTGTTCGCACCTTGAAAATGGTTTTCCTTCATTGGGTCGTACCATTCGGCTCGGGTGTTTTCATTGCCGTCTTTGAGGCAGTCGTAGTAGCCGAGCCAACTCGCACGGGGGTGCAAGGTGGTATCGATGTCGGCGTTGTCGAGACCGATGGGCACCGGTCGCAATGACCCGTTACACTTGTCAGCGTATGTCCGCACGTCTCGGATAAGGGCCTTGACGCACGGGGCCGACTTTTCGATTTGGGTGCCCAAGTTGTTTTCGTTGCCGACGGAGAACCCCTTGTTGGCAATGAGAACTCTCATATTCCCTTTAAAGACAAACAACGTACAATCACATTGTCGTACACGGCAAAGGCGTTGTAGATCTTCATGGCGCGAGTAAACATGGCGTCGGTGTAGCATTTCGGGGCTTCAGTGTCCAACACATAGCACCCTTCGCAGCTACGAATACATGTGAGTGATGATGGGGATCAGCAAGGTAGACTACTTCTTCGTACATGGCTGCCATGCCCACAAACGCGTAAATGCCGAGTTTGCTCAACTCACACATGAACTTGTCGTGGGGGGCCGTGGGGTCGACAGCGTACAGTCGGATCGTGTTGATTCCGAGGGCTTTGAGGTTCTCCAAGTGAGGCCGCCAGATCGGTTCCATGTCGTCAGTGAACCAATCCACCGAGTTGGCATCGAAATTCTTGCCCGTATTCGCTCGCGGGTAAAACGCAATGCCTTTCACTCGGAACTCGTCGCCTGAAGCAGAGTCGAAGAACTTGGAGCCTTTGACCACCAGGGGGTTGAGCCAGCCAGTGGTGGGGGGGAGTTGGGCATTGGAAAGTGCCACGAAGGAGGAGAATAGAGCGGTGCCCGCAATGTGCATGACCAAAGGTAAGCAAGGTAAAAGAGTAAGTGAGGCTCCTTTAGTATCACTTGGCTACCTGAGAAAAGTCGTGTAACGTTATCCGTGCGACTAAAATTTAGTAACACCGCCAAAATTAAGTACCGCGTGGGCCGACACGTTGGTGTCCCAGCGACATTTGCCAATGGCCGTTAGCAGCCTGCACTACCCGGTACTTGCGCCAGGCCACTCGAGGTGTCGCTCACGAGTAAGATGTACAAGTATGGCGATTTTTTTTTGCAAAGTTTGGGTCAAAGGGTCAGCTGCAGTTCAAAGTAGCGCTGCCGATGTGAACCATGTGGGAGTGTGTGCTGTATGTGAGTCTTCCCAGCATGCGAATTTAACTTTAAATTTATGTACAGTACTACTCGGTACTACCTACTACTAGTACCGCAGAAGTACTGTACTAGTACTCCGGAGTACCAGTTCTTGGCATGAAGTCTATGTAGTAGTTTAAGGTCACTCCAGAATACTACTTCGAAGTATAAAGTAATCAGAAAACTAACAGGAATATGTAGGAAACATCAGTGAAGGTGCATCGCAACTCGGCTAGGTTAAAGAGTACTATTAACGGATAGCTTGTATTACGACAGTACAGTACTATTAATAGTACTGTTCTACTGTACTACTCCGGAGTACATACTGTACTTCTGTAGTACTTTCTGTACGAGTATGTGTGTAACTTCTACATTCACATGGTTCGACGACTCCCGCTTGTGTCTGCGCCGGCGTAATATGGGTATTTTTTTTATTCAACGAAGTGTCACATGTACGTACAGTACTGTAACTTGTTCTATTGCCAAGGTTTCACTGCACCTACGGTCCACACAGCACTCGGTTCTTGATCTCTCTCCTTGCGTCCCAGTCTGGAATGCAGCCATCTTCGAGCTTGGACGTGAATACCAACCGAAGGATGCCCGTGCGACGCGGTCCTTCGCCTTTCCCTGTGTCGTCGGCATCCCAAGAGGCAGGCAAGATCCAATGCGGATACGGCGCTTCGTCTCTTGTCGGCGAGTACGTGTACCCGTCGAGCCAATTGTCTCCCTACAACACCATCGTCATTACCTGACATAATATATATTAAACATAATATATATTATTGTCACCATACCTCTTCGATCACAGCCAGTCGAATGAGAATCTTGGCCATGTTGTAGTCTTCCAGGACGCTTAAGTCCAGTTCGTAGAAGCGATCGGGTTTTTCCGGATTGAAAATATTGAGCCATCCGAGCGATTTCACGAGCTCGGACTGGTCTTCGCGGTCCAAGAGGTCAAAGATTTCGCAGAAATTGCCCACGTCGATCAGTCGTGCAAATAGCACTCGCGCCGCTTCCACGCGTCCGTGGAATCCACTGGGCATGCTCATGACAATCCGGCTGGCCTAGATAGTTGCCGTAGATTGGCAACAACAGGTCAACGCGATGTACATACATAAGTACTACCTGTTCTGCCGTGAGGTACCGGTCGCTGACCGCGGTCTCAATCTGAACCAGCTTCAACCGCACTTCTTCGCGGCAATTCTTGATGCGAAAGATATGCGATCGTGCGTAGTTGAGCATGTTGAGGAATTGGTTGTGGCGGACATAGTCGCGAAGCTTTTTCCATCGTTGCTTGGCCTTAGCCACAGGATCGAGCGGGGCCGCTGGCTGACCCGCGCCGTCGGGGATGTCAATGAACACACAGTCCTTCGCCAGTTCCTTCACCAGCTGCTCGTATCGCCGGTGGCTCAGTGCCTTGGACCCTACCATGTTACAAGCGTTTTTAGAACTGCATTGTCAACATGTGCAGTTTGAACCTTTGGGGGGTCGACTCGTAGACACGTAGTCAAACTCGAGGTGACCACATTGCGGCAGCGAGTTGAAGAACGAAGTCGTGAGCACAAACTTTTCGCCATCGAGCGTTTCGTTGCGAAAGTTCTCCCAATTCATGTGCTGGGACGTGTCTAATAATATACAAACAGATGCACATAAATATATACCAACGGGCAAACGTCCATGGAGGAGGAATGGACTGTACGCACCGCCGCGCTTGGACGCGATGGACATCTTCTTCTCCGTCTGCGCCGACTCGACCAGCTTGCGAGCGACCCACCGGTCAGCCCGATTAACCAGATCCAGTGCAAAGTGCGCCGTGGGGTTGCCCATGATAACTGCATATGCGTTGCCCAAGTCGACCTTGAGCTTGGCTCGCTCGCGAAGGTTTAGGGTGGTCGAAACCAATCGCTGGGCGTCCTTGGCCGTGATCACTTGGAACAACGCGTGACTCACCGCCGCCACGCGCACCTCTTTGTTGAGTCCCCCACACTGCTCGAGCAATTCATACGCTTGCGAAGCCGAAAACAAGATCTACGGGGACAGATCGTACCCCCCATATACACCTGTCAAAACCTTTACAAGTTATGTGTGGTTGGTTCGTACTTCGGACTCGTTGATGGCAAAGTAGAGCATTTCGAGCTTCTCCGCGGGACTTTTCGCTTGCAAGTTAATATTTCGGATCAATTGCGCTATGCCCGCGTCCGTGATCCCTACACCCCGATCATATATATATACATTTCATGAGTAGCTCTCACATGTAAATGGAGCGCATTCGATTATTTCTATACACATGATAAAATGACACGAATCGTACGGTTTTTCGCATCGTGCATGTCCAGCACCGCTTCGCGTTCGTACACAAAGTGGATTTCCAAGCGACCTTCGATGGGAATGTGCCAAATTTGACCCGTAGCGGCATCCCGCAGCGCAAATCTGTTGGGATCCAGCCCTGCGAGGGAATGCTTGGACCCGAACGCTTGAAACCGAACATGCGACTTCATGAGCTCGACGAACTCAAAGTTCTCGATCGTGCCGCTGCTGTCCAGATCGTACTGGGCAATCGCCAGCATGGCGTCGTGGTCTGTCATGGGCGACCCCAATTTCTACTTTTATTTTGTCACATCACGTTTGCTTGCATGTTGAACGCACCTCCATGATGCCTTGCAACTCGGTCGCGTCCAAGCCGCCAGACCCGTCTTCGTCGGTGATTTCAAACAAAGCGTGGAAGAACTGGCAGCTAAAGTCCTGCTCGTCCAAATCCGACGTCCAGTGTGCCTTCATGTGGGCCAAGATTGCCTCGAGGGTTTCCACGGTGGGCGCCATGTGCAGGGTCCGAAACACTGCCAGCAACGCAAACACGTCCACCTGCAAACTGGTCGACGCACTGCGTTGCTTAGCCACGGACTTCGTATAAAACACATCCAGCGGACTGTTGAACACAGTCGACACGATCGGGTGCACCAGTTGGATCACCGTGCCTAGAACAACCTGTGAACAACTTGCTCGCCAAAGGCTGGTCTATATATTGTGAATTCGCTATAAAGTTTCAAAATTCGCGTTGATTATCAATATTGAAACACGCTGGAGTTCTGCGATGGATGCATATCCTTGTCCTTTATGAAAGAGCCAATCAAATCCACTCAAAATTAGATTAGCCAATAGCATCGATTTATGATTCTATTCGGCGGCGAGATGCGCTTCGATGGGGTCTAGAAATTTGTACCCCCACGCAATACCTTTGTTTTTCACTCGCTCGAGGCGCGAATGGTGCTTGAGATTTTCGAACCGACACCCTTTCTTGAACGTCGCCAGTCGAAGTAGCTCGGTGGCGATCATTTGGTCGAATGGATCCGTCAAGTCTAGCGAGTACTCGCCAGCGGGGTCGGTGGGATCGAAGATTTTGCCCTTGCCGCCATTGCCTTGGCTCGTAGACGCGAGGTTGCACCCCGTGATTTCAATGTCGCAGCCTACTCAACGTGGTTCATTACTTTTCGCTATGTTTGGACACGAGTACCCTGGTCCGTTTGCGTCGAGCACATGGCAAACATGAGGGCGCGGCCGCCTTCCTTGCCAATGTTGTTTCCGTTCAATAGCAAATTTCGCAGCGTTTTCGTCTTGCTCGCGGCACTCGCGAGCACCAACGCCCCACGACACCCGACGTTGTTGTAGCTCAGATCCAGAGTCCGCAGCGTCGTGTTGATGGTCAGGACGTGGCCAAACATCATCGCGCCAGCGTCGCCGCATGCGTTGTACGCTATGTGGAGCTCGAGCAGCTTCTTGTTGAACTCGAGCGACTTGGCCAGCGTCACGCCCGACTCGAGGCGCAGGAGGTTCCAGCTGATGTCCAACTTGGCAATCGTGAAGTTCACATACCTAATAATGGTCAGAGCATCAAACAAAGCCTCGACCATATCTTTGCATACAGCATGCTCGCAATGGCTTCGCCGCCCGTGGTGATTTCTGGCTGCACGACGTTCAGCTGCTCGGCTTCGCCAATGCGATTACGTGGCATCGTGAGCTCGAGCACACTCGTGTTCTTTTCGAACGCAGTCATGAACGCAGCGCACTCAAAGTCGTCAATGTCTGACTTTTCCATGACCCTGTCACATGACCTGAGTACCACAGCAGGAAGGGATCATATCGGACGAGGGTTTTCGTACAGATGCTTGAGGGTGCACTCTTTGCATTCGATGTACAGGCGCATCGTCTTGGCCGCGCCGTCCCCGATTTCGTTTTCGGAAATGTCCAGTTTGCGCAACTTGAGCTGATTCACATGGATCTCCGTGAGGAGTGCGTTCAGCCCGACGTCCGAGAGCCGATTGTCCCGAACGTTGATCTCCTCCACAAACGGCAGTGCGTTGATACACGCTGCGAATTGGCGGATGTAGTCGTCACCTAATGACTACAACCCCTCCCGTCGTCAACTTGACGAAGTACGAACGGTACTTTACTTGAAAGGAAAAGTCAAACACGCTGGTCGTGTGCTTGCGGATGATCAGGGGCATCGCAGGCCGATGGTTCGATAAACTGCCCACCACCACCCGCGTCCGGGGCGTGATGTCTGGGGTGGGCACCACGCCCCCTCCGTCTTCTGGCACCTCTTCCGACGTCGGTTCGTCGTCGGTGGCGAGCTCTGGATGACTCGATCGGAAGAGGTGCTGCTTGGACGACATGTGCTTGTAGTGGGCGTAGAACGCATGCTTGGCCGACTCGCCAAAGTACTTGACCTGGTTTTCCCTTGACAGCGACTGGTGCTTCTCGACGCGTTGGTCGTCCGCCGTCTTGTCCTGCGCGTCTTGGTCGTCGTCGTCGACCCCAGACATAGCAGCCGCCGTCGGGTGGAGATGGGTCATGGTGTCGTGGAACGAAAACTTGGACAGGAGCGACTGCCTCGCGCGGACCACGGGGGTATACGCGACGTTCGGCGCCACAGGGGGGTGGAACTTGGCTTCGTCGCGCTTTAGAATGGCCTGAACGCGAGTGTTGGTGCGAAGGCTGGCCAGTGTCACGTCCAACGCATGCCGGTCGTCGTCGTTGGCACCGAGTTTGACCGTGCTCATGGCCCACAGCTTGTCCCGCGGTGGCACCACATGTTTACCTGCCTCGCGTTGCACATTCCCGACCTCCAGCACCGCCGGGTCCCAGCTCATTCGCCTACAAAGCGTCCAGATTCAAGGATGTAAAAACACGCTTGGAGAAAGGAAGCTTGTACCCGAGGAGCTTGGATGAGAGCTGTGGAGTTGACGATGGGCGTGGAAGGGAAGATGGTGGCGGCGATGCTGTATCAAGGGGATCCAGTCGTTTGTCCTAGGTGGGGATAGTATAATGACGATGGTGGGAATGTCGCTAGCAGCTACAACATTGCGAACCAGTCGCTTTGTCCACGTCGATGCATGTTGTCGCGGCGCTGGCTGATACGCGGGCCGATCGGCTTCCTGTCGCACATGCGCTCTGTCGAATGTGTTTTGACGGCCTGGCGGCGAGTAGCTAAGTGCTCCCGACTCCTCGTCAATCAATACCCCCTCCGAGTCAAACGTGTTGCTGGTACCGCAGTCGTGAGTGTTCAATCAACCAGATAGAGTTAGCTAACGTACCGATACCACGGCAGCATGTCCACAGTTCGAGGACGACGGCGATGAGACGGCGGCGGCAGCACCCCCGGCATGTGTACTGTCCACTTGAGAAGACAATCGTTTTGTGCATACATTGCCGTTACGGCGGTTTCAAAATTTCACTGCCGCCCCCGAGTTTAACGAGTTCCGCTACTACTACGTCGAAGTACGAAGTACTAGTATAAATCTACCTGCCCGACAAGAAGAAAAGATAGATCATTCGGTGAAGTGAGAAGCTTAGATCCGCGCTCTCGTACGACCGCGCTCGGGGCTAATGGAACGCTTAGTCACTACGTACTTTAGGTTTCATCCAATGTCACATCACAAGCGGAGGTTTAGGCAATCCCCCAATATGTCATCGTCATCCACGCTTTGATTCAATGATTATATTATATTAACCATATGTATTAATGTCATCCACACTTTGATTATAATATATTAAACCATATGTGCTAATAGTATCCTAGGTTGGTATTAATATTAAAACGTTATGCCATGAATTAAAACTCCCAAGCCTAGTTTTAAAACGCTTAAATCGTCCTGAACGCGTTTTAAACAGGACAGGTGAAACGGTGTATCGTTACAAGTTTTCAGGGATTCTGACTAAGACTACTGCACATGGTAGTCAAGAGGCAAGATTCCGTCCGACTTGGCGCGGGCGACGAGGGCCGTGAGCAAGCCCTTGGCGCCAGGCACGTCCAGCTGGATGTCGGGGAGGGTCAGTGCCACCTTGTCCACGCCCTTGCGCAGTTGCGCAGTGGACACGATATCCTGGCTCACCAAGTACGCCAAGAGCGACCCAATGGCGTTCGTGTACTCCTTGCCTTCCTCAAACGAGTTGATGATGCCGCGCTTGACCACTTCGTGGTGGAAGTGGGGCACGTTCAGTTCCCGGACGCACGCCGACGCTTCTTCGAGGTCCCCGGACAACAGATACTCCTTCGTGAGCTGGTCAATGGCGACCTTGAGCTCTTCCACGGGCCGGCCATCGCCTGGCCCCCAGCCCTTCTCCATGCGAACCGTGCCGTGATTGATGCTCAGTTTCTTGATCGCTTCTTGCACCACGTCGTCGCCATCGGCAGCCAATAATGGATCTTCCAGGAACCGCGGCGGCAAGATTTCGTCCACGATAGCTCGCGCTGCGAAGATCGACAGCATGTGCACGGCCGTGGGGATGTCCAACGCCAAATCATCCGCCGACACGATCACGCGACGGAACCCTTGCGCCAGTTCGACAGGCGTGAGGCCGTTCAGGTAGAGCTCCGAGAGCAGGCGGGACACAGCTTCCCGTTCCCGCTCGTGCTTGTCCATGGACATGGTGATGGCGCGCTTCACGAGTTCGTAGTTGAACTGCCCGTCTATATTGAGAAGCCTTGTGAGAGGAAGAGACGACGAGAATGGAGGGAAAGTACCCGTGTCTATCGACAGCTCGCCAAGACGAATACGCACTTCGTCGACGTCGCCGCTCGAAAAGTACTCGGTGATGATGTTTTCGATCTGCGCCTTGATGTCGTCGGGGACAGGACTGGCGCCAAATGCGCGGGCGTTGTCTTGGAACAGCGCATTCTTCGCCGTCGTAGAAAGGCGTCGGGCCTTGGGGGACGACGTGACCAGAATGACATCGTCCGATTCTTCTTCGCTGTCAAAGTTCGGGTCTTCCTTTTCCACCTTGGGGATCACAATCAGATCCTCGGGTTTCCCCCATAGTCCTTTCTTGCCGCCACCCTGCTTCTTGGACAATTCGCGGCACTTGGTACGCGACCGCGATGGCAAGTCCGCCAGCGTTTCCGTCGAGGAAGTGTCGACGACGCTGCTGATGTCGACCTTTCCAGCGGGCGGCGCCGATGCAGAATCGTGCTCGGCGAGCTTTTCAGGGTCATCCAGCAAGGCTTGCATCGCCATGTCAGCCCATCCTTCATTCTTGTATACGATACGTTCATGGACCTACCTGCGTTGGTGGCAGCGAATTCCTTGGACGAGCGGCGTCTGGAGGCCGACATGAGGTGTGGAGGGGATGTAGTCGATTGGTAAATGCCGCAGCTTTTGCGTATTTTTAGCGTAACGGCCCCGTCGGAACCGCAGATTATAACGTTGCTAGCGTTTGATTGGTCTATTGGAACCAGATTTTTGGCCAATCACAGCCGACTGTGGAAATTGATCGACTCCGCTCAAATTAGTTAGGACAAGCTATACTTGATAAATGTATTGGGTACATGAAACTTATTATGAACGGGTCCTTATCTTGCGCACACTACATGGCCGGGCAAGAAGCAGGAGAAAGCCGGCGGCCGGAGGTCGATGGAGGCAGGTTCATGCAGTTGAGGGCGAAGTCAATCCATGGACGGGAGGAGAGATGAGAACTCAAGACTTCATGCCTTGGGGTGGCAATTGGCCCGTGTGTTCTTCCCGCGCGCCGTTGTCGACACACTGCTTCGACTTCGAGAACTTTCGAGAGGAGGAATGTATTACACAACGCGGCTGGGGTCTGTGCACGTGAACACGGCGTGGATGCGTTTGGAGAGGACAATTTCGATCGAGTTTGCATTGAGCTTCTCCTGGAAAGGTATACACAGCGGACGCATGAGGTATGGTTGATGCCGTTGATCATACCGCGAGCAGCACTTCCTTGGCCTCGACTGGGATGGCTGGGTTATGATACACAGTCATGAGCGATTGCATCGTAGGATAGAACCCCACGACTCGTTGGGCTCGCCCTTCGCTCATGCCAGGGATCTACGTCAGGGATCATAAGGTCCGTCCACCACTACATGTGCCGGCGCCGCCAGTACCATTTGCAGCATGCGTAGCCACGTGTTTGTCAGCTCGTTGGTCGTATCTACGACCCCATGCTTTCAATGCCTGACATCTTCCTTCAGGGCGTTATGTACCTCCATTCGGGGTCGCGCGAAGGGACGTGAGCCGACCAACATGCGTCAAAAAGTCCACCGGTTCCCTGCCCCAGATGATTTTGATTAGCCAAACGGTGTCACATTCGCCAACCACGTGGCACACGTACGTACGTACGTACGTACATTTGTGGCAGCAGTGCGACCTCCCTGGTCAACGAGTACAAGTACTGGGCCGTGTCGTCGCCGTCGGTGGTGAACTGCGACACCGTTTCAGAGCATTGTCAAGTATTCACGTTACTTACCTTGATGTGGCAGAACGAGTTCACAAACAACTGCACGCACGCTTGTTGCACATGGGCAAACGTGACCGTCGTCTACACATTCACAGCGTCGTTCGTGCTTTCGATTTCTAAATGCGACGGCGTACCGCGCGTTGCTTGCGTTGCTCAGCAATCAGCGCCTTGTCCATGCCTTCCACGACGAGGAAGATCCGCGCTGTCGGATCATGCAGGTGGGCCCTACAGACGACACATATTCCTGTGAGATCATATGTGAATGCGATGGACGATGCTATACCGAAGGCCAGCGATCACGTCGTAAATGGGCGCGTAGCGGGCGTCCATGGCCGCCAGAAAGTCCAGCGCCGCAAAGACCCGACACGCCATGGGCACTCGCGTTAGCACGGGCCGGTTGAGTGCTGCGTCGAACGCAGTGGAATGCTCCCACAGCAACGCGCACGACACGTGGCAGTGGATGGATGGGAGGACGGGGATGGGTTTCGGGGTGTGGGCAGCCAAGGCTTCCTTGAACTTGATCGCTACGTCCGACTCGCTCCACGACGCTTCTAATGCGACATTGAGCGTGGACTTTGGATGCTTTGAAGCGCGGGACGACTTGGTCGTGGGTCGGGTGGTTGGTGGCGGCGGTCGAACCATGGGCGGCTCTGTGGATGCAAGCGGTGGCGGGTCAACAAGCGGCATTGTTGCTGTGGCGACTGGGGTCACGATCGGAGCTTCTGACGTTGGACTGTACGTGAGAGTCGCTTGATGCATCGACTCGAAGTAATTCTCGTCTTCGTAAGGCAGCATATCGTCGTCGTCGTTAGCATCGTCATGGACATCCCGCTCATTGTCGGGAGAGTCTTCCTCGTCGGAATTTGTATTGATACTGATGATGGACACGTCGACAGGGTTTGTGATCAAAGGGTCGATGGATCTAGTCACGAAGGTATAAGTTGAAGTGGTCCTTGTGAACGAACGACTCACCCGTGGTGTCGAAAGGTGTCAGGTTCGCTGTCACTTGCCAGTTCGATCACATCGCTGGATTGGACGGATGAGGACGAGATGATGGAGGGCACATGGACCGGACTTGATCGTTGTCGCACTTTAGACCTCTTCAGGACCGGCGACGTTTCGGATAGGTCGACGACGGACGTGTCTGGCATGGATTGTTGTTGGAGTGGAGTATTTGCAGCTATAGGCCGTCGACGACCGCTGCTTCCTGGTTGTGACGCCGAAGGCTACGCATGTAAGGGGAAGTCACGTCGATAAGAATACCATTTGTGGCGCACCGATCCAACGCTACGTTGGGAAGGCGGGAGGCCCAGGGCATTTAGCATGCCGTCGATCTCGCTGTCGCTGTCGCTCATCATGGCGCGGGTCCAATTTTCAAAATACCCACCCTACTAACCCATGAATAGTATTACTAGCTATATCCGTAAGACCTTATCCGTACCCAATCGTGGTTACTCCATACTGTAATACTAATACTCTAATACTAAAAATACCTGTAGTATACGTATAAATATCACACCACATAGAGATTAAATATTCTCACCACGGTTGTTTCAAAATATTTCCATTTCGGATTGACCAATGGGAGAGATTCGATTCAACGGGGTCCTTACTCCAGAAGTGCCGTTTTGTAACTGCCGACATACTCCTGTAGAAGAATGTGAAACGACACGACGGGAGATTGGCGGGGGTGTTGGATTTCAGGGGACCCTCGGTGCAGCATTCACAAACGATCAACTAGGCGTGCGTACATAAGGACAAACCATCATGAAGGGGTTGATGTGGAAGCGAGGTTACACCTTTCCTACCATGTACGTCCGGGGAAGGTCTGCGACGATGTGAAGATGCTGATGTTGACGTCGTAGGAAGCGCGTGTTTTGTGTGCTGGAAGGGTCCATGCTGTCTGTGTACGGGTCCGAGAACGAGTTTGACCGAGGTCATACACCGCAAAAAGTCGTCGAGATCACTCAGGTGCAGTTGTGGGACGGCCGGTCCACGTTCAAGCATTACGACCACGGGTTTATCCTCGTGGCGTTGGGCGGCAAGTCGTACCAGTGCAGTGTCGACTCGTCCTTGCTCCAAAAGGAATGGTACGATGTGTTGTCATTCTTGGGTCGCTCTCCAGCTTAGTGGGTGAGTCTCATATACGACAAAACGACAGGATTCATGCGATTCAATCGTCGCTGGAAGAACCGTATCGCATCGTAGCCGACGAAATCATCGACGCCCAACGAGACTTGAATTCAGAAGTCAAAGAGGAGCGCGACATGGCCTCCATCGCGGCAGAAGCCGTACGTTCCCACCGACATCGTCTCACATTTCGGACATAATCGTCATGCCATTTACACCCAGGTCCAACGGGCGGAAGTGGCATCCCGTGCCATTCGCGGAGGCGAAGAACACATCCAGTTGCTCCGTGAAAAGCAGGCAGGTCTAGCCCAAAAGGCCCGCGACACCACCGACGAGATGCACGACGCCGAGCGAAAAGCAGCCGACACACTGGAAAAGTCCAAAGCTGCCAAGCAAGCAGCGCACGATGACATCCTTCGGAATGCTGTGCAGCCTGGACAAATGTCGGAAACATTCAAGAAGGACGCAGCCAAGCTCTCGGCCCTGTACGAAGTGGAAATGAACGTCGTGTCCACGTTGCAAAAAGCCATCCACGACATCCACGCAGACATGGCAGAGGTGATCCCTCGTTATATAGGAACATTCTGACAGAGTCGTTCTAGCTGGAGCGTTCGATTGCGGACGCTGTCGCAGACGTGGCGGCGATGAAAACGAATGCCGAACAGACGATTCAACAAGCAACGGGGGCCATTCATTCCGCGCAAACCGCCAAAGTCAAAGTCAAGTTGCGGCTGGCGTCGTGGACATCCAGCCATTCGCACGTGGACTCGCTCGCCCAAGGGTGTGTCTAGTTCAATGGCCTCTAACTCTGCAATTCCATGTATGTATTGCTGGTTTCTACTACTCGTAGGTACTTGCGTGTGAAAAATACCCTTCGCCCGAAAATGCACCGCAAGTACTTTGTCTTGTTTGGGAAGACGCTGTGTTGGTACAAGAACGCCGACGATTACTTTCAAAACATCCGGTCGCCACTGGGGGTGGTCCACGTAGCGGGGCCCATCAAGGACTGGACCGGCAAAGTCGGACTGACGACATACCCGAATGCGTTTTCGATTCCCACGGTCGAGGGCAAGGAATTGCATGTGAGTGCGAGCGTGGCCAACGAAGTGTCGACGTGGAGCGTAGCCATCCTCACCGGCGCCACGATGATTCCCATGTCCCCCGAGCGCGCGCGAGATGCCAAAGTCCGCCGCGATTCGTTCGACTTGACATCGCCCCCCGCGCACACGCATCGCATGAGCTTCTTCGCGCCGACGTCGGACCGACTGCTGGATGCCCCGTTCTCGGTCAAAAAGGACAAGGGGGACGAGTCTTCAGACAAACCCGACGTCGTGGTGGTCGAGGGAAGTTTGGTCAAGCAAGGCCACTTTGTGCCAACCATGAAGCGAAAGTACTGTGTGGTCGTGGGCGTGCATATCTACTTTTTCGACAGCCACGAGCAGTACGTGGCCTTGAAAGCCGAGAACGGGGCTCTGTCCCCAGACACAACGACCGTGTCGTGCTCGGAACTAGTGCGCGTCAACGACTGGGACGGCAGTCTCCTCCTCATGACGTACCCCCACGCATTTCAAATCGACACGTTGCATCACGCGCACATCCTCTGCAGCGCCGCCAGTGCCAAAGAGAAGGAGCGGTGGATGAAGGGCATCCGGACGGCCATCGGCCATCACGTCGCAAGCGCCCGCGCCGTCGGGTCCCTCGATTCGTTCCACCACGTCGCAGACGAGTCCAAGGTACCGCTGACCGACCAGGCGCGCGCCGTGCTCGAGTTCGAGACCATCCTGGCCGATTACTTCCACCAGCACAACTCTGCCAAGGAAGAAGACGTGTACGTAATGACCAAGCTGTTCCAAGGCCGCGAAGGCGAGCTGCTCAAGCACCTGGACGACATGTACATCACGTCGTTGGCCAAAGATCACGCGTCGCTGGTGGCGAAACTGACCAAGTACCACGCCGCGAAACTGGCCGACAACAGCGCCATCGAAACCGACGGGCTGCTTCCGCATTTGGAGGGCATCTTGACCTACGACGTGCCGGCGCTGTTGACGACATCCAAAGTCCGAGTGTACGCCGTGGTACTCGGCAACAAGCTGCTGCACTTTTCTACGCGCATTGCAGCGCTCACAGAGCCCGACCACCCCACGGACACGATCGTGTTTGTAGCCGCCCAAGCATCGCCGGACGCCCCGCTGAAATTGGAGATTGTCGATCCCCAAGGCGTCCAGCGAGTGTACGATGCAGCGTCCACTGTCCAGCGAGACCACTGGATTCGCACCATGCACCTCGGACTGGAGTACGCCCGCGCGCACCGCCAGCGCGCGACGCTCAAAGTGAGCGAAAGGTACGACGACCAAACCTTCTGCGTGTAGTATGCTGTTGATGATTCCACAACAAGTCAAGGAGTTTAACAGCACTGTCTATCTGTTGTGGTTCTAGCACGACGCTGCACGAAATTCTCGACATTCCGTTCAGTGACGAGTGCAGCCCCGAAAGCGCCGAGTTCAAGCAACTGATGGTGGCGTACTACGAGGAACACAACCCGGACGGTCTGGCCAGCGTGGAGGCGCTTTTGATGCACTTTCGAGGCAAAGAGCACTTGTTGTTGGCGTCGCTCGATAAAATGTACGGCACCACCTTAGTGGCCAACGATCACATGACCAAACTGTGTGCGGCGATGTCTGCGTACTCGTCTGACACGGCACTCCGGACAGCAGCCGCGCCAGGGTCGTGGCGCCACAGCTTGTCCTGCGACGGATCTCTTCCGCACCACAAAAAGGCGGGGTTTGTCATGATCAAGTGCTCGCCGACGATGCCCCAGCTTAAAAAGTGCTACTGCGTCGTGGAAGGGGCCAGCTTGACATGCTACGCCGGCGTGGACATGGCGCACGTGCTGCTCGGCCCTTGGCAGATCGACAACGTGTCGATGGGCGACGGGCAGTTCAGCATGTACATTGACACATCGGCAGACACGAACGTGTTTGCGCAGCTACCGACCGAAGTCGAGTTCCACGGATGGCTATCTGCGTGCCACGTAGCGATTGCGACCCATCACGTGACGGTCCTGAACGAGTCTCCGCTGGCAAAGTACCTATTGGCGTTTTATGCGAAAACCAATCCAGCCAAGGGGGGCGACGTGCCGCTGTTGCTCGACTCGTTCGCGGGGCGAGAAATGGATTTGTTGGCCAAGATCGACGCCGTGTACCACACCTCGTTGTCGACGGACCCGGAAGTGATATCCTTGTTGCCCCCAACTTCAGCATCTCCTTCCACCGTCCCCACGACCGCCACCGTAGACCCTACCCCCCTCATTCAAGGATACATCATGAAGAAAGGCTACGAGATGCCGTCCATGTCGAAATTCTACGCCGTCCTCCGTGGCCACATGTTGCATGTGTTTGACACGAAAGAAGACGCGGTTGCAAATACCGCCGGCCGTCCGCCCAAGGAACTGGCGGCTGTGACCGAGTGGACGGGCAGCACGCATGACAAGTACCGGTTTGGCTTGGAGCTGGTCACGACAGCACATCGCACGTACTTTATCGCATTCGATTCGGACGAGTCCAAGGTATCGTTTGGATAGCGTTTTGAGATTGTGGCGTTCCGGTTTGTGATATATGATATTGTAGGTGCACTGGACAAGTGCGATCCAGCACGGGTTGGCGCTGCAGCGTCTGGCGACTCGCATTGCGTCGGGGGCGCTGCAAAGCGACACGACGAAGGCCATTCGCGACAAGATCGTTCATTCGTACAGCCACGTGAGCCAGCATTTCGTTGACGAGCTCAACGGGGTGCTCGAATTGTCGCACGGGTTTGACCTAGAGGTGCTCAAAATGCTGGATAAAAAGTACGGCACCCACATGGTCATGGACCCAGACTTGACTGCGCTGCTCGACACGGCTGGGGCGGCGACGATGACGACGACGGGCTACGAAGCGCCTGTGACGCTGACTTCGTCCGACGGCCAGGCGTCCCAACCTCTATTTGGCGTCCTCGTCGACACCAAGTTGCAATGTTACGCTACCCGAGAAGGGTACAAATCTGGACTGCTGCAGCCCCAAGTGGCCGTCAAGTGCTTGGCAGTGGCGCCATGGAAGGACAAGTTTGTGGGGTTCGTCGTCGACACGGAGGAAGGGGCCCCCGTGTACCTGACGGGCTCCACAGCATCCGAGTCGACGCGATGGATCCAGGCGTTGCAGACAGCGCTGGACAAATCGAACCTCAACGACCTTCTGCACTGCGTTCCATCGTACGCTCGATAGCTACTTTGGACGATGATTTATACTAGGCATTCATGGCTTGGTTGGACGTACGTAGGGATGGCACGAATGTGCTGTCGAGCTTTCTGTCAATCGAAGCGAACGGCAAACTCGTGCGGCGATACGTTGTGCTGGAAGACTTGGAAATCAAAGTGTACACTACGCCCGACGCCCTCCAACCCGCCGTGTGCTACGACGTCGTGGCCATCAACGCGTGGCAGTCGTCGACCGCTCCTGGCCATTCGTTTCAGCTGGACTGCCGCAGCGAATGGAATTCCGCCGTCCTGCGGTGCGTGGCAGACTCGGAAGTGATTAAAGCCAAATGGCAGTCGCAAGTGGCCGACGCCCTCAAGCGCAAGGCAGGGGACGATCTCATGCAAGACCAAGCCATTGAGGTACGACGCATTTCCTGTTTTCTGTCGTTGACGGCACAGAACGTACTAGTTGTCGCACGCTACGTCGTGTGCGACAACGTTTCAACAATCGTCAGTGCAAGGCTACATGATGTACCGATCCCACGTGAAAGGCAAATGGACGGACGCTAAAGACGGGTACTTGGAATTGTCATGGTTGTGTCGGCAGGGTTGACATGTTTGATAATAGGTACTTCCTGTTGAATCAAGACCGGTTGATCGGGTATGCCGATGAAACGAGTGCTCGGGCAGGTGATGAGTCGGCGCAGTTCATGGTCGTGGAAGTGCAGTCGCTGTTTGAATCCCAGAGCAGCGGAGGCCACCAAAACGACTTTTACATCCAAGGCAAAGTAGGCCCCCAGCAGCTGACGTCCACATTGCACTTTATCCCACCCGAATCGAACGACCGAGACGTTTGGGTCGCGGCCATCACGAGCGCTCTCAACGACAGTCGCGGTGCCACGCTGTTGCTCGAACAACAAGTAAAAAGGCATTGAATTTCAAACTAACTTCTATCGCGAAGGAATGGAGGCTTGATGGCATTTGAGATAGGTGGAACTGGCATTGCACACCACCGCCGCCGCCAGTCGCACGTCGTCCGACCCTAGATTGGGCTACGTGGTACCGACATCGACCATGGAGGGCACGTTGCAGCGTATCGAAGAAGCGTTTCTGCACTTTGCACGGGACCCCCGTCGATACTACGTGCTTGTGCGCGACACGTTGAGGTGGTTCGACACCAAGGCGGAAGCCAGCACGAGCAACCTCTCTAGCTACGACGACAACAACCACGATGAAACCGACGAGAAGACTGACGAGCGAGCGATGAAGGTGCTGTCCGTGTCAGATTGGGACGGCATGCCATTTGGTAAATAAAACCCCACTTAAATGACCTTTTCAATGGAACATGGCAACCTGTCCGACAGGTTTCCAAGTGGACGCCAAGTACCGAGGCGTGTCTGGATCGATCCAGTTCATCGCGACGTCAGAGGCGGAAAAGGAGCGCTGGATCCGCGCGCTCAAAGCCGCGAGCGACGAAGCGGTGGCGGAGCAGACGCTGCGGGACATCCTCACGCGTCAGACCACGCTACAAACACAGCACAGCAGCGAGATCTTCCAGGAAGGCTTCGTGCATCTCCGCCGATCGCACTTTGCGGCCGCGTGGAACGAACACTACTGCGTGCTCAAGGGTCCGTGGCTGGCGACGTACGACACACGCGAAGACTTCGCCACCGCGCCAGGCAAAGCCACGAGTAAGGTCCAAGTCGTGTTCGTCGGGGACTGGTACGGCGCCGTGGCGACGGGCGGCGGCGTTAAGAACATGTTTCGCATTGAAACCATCGAGCTCGGGTTCTTGGAAGCATATGTTGATGACCCAGAGGACAAGATACACTGGATGCACACGCTGCAAACGGCCGTTTCGTCTTTGAAAGCCGACGAGCTCATCACGCGCGACTTGGCCCTGCCGAGCTACGCGGGGGCGACCATGGAGGGGTACCTGACAAAGCATGGCGGCACCGTGCGAACCTCCCTCAAGCGGTACGTCTAACTTTGAGTCCTAGTTGGGGGTTGGAGGAGAGGTAGTTAGTTGATAACTGGTGGTCGGGTTAGGTATTGCGTGTTGCTGCGAACGTTGTGGTTGTACTTTGCCTCGCAAGAAGACGCCCTGGACGGCACCGATCCACTCGGCACGCTGCAAGTGATTGGCCTGGAGCCGTCCACTTCTGAAGGCGTACGTAGTCCCACTACCACTACCTACTGCTCACATGTGTTCCTTATCACAATTAGATCGAGCCAGAACATTCGTTTATGCTGCTCACGTCGGGGCGAAAGGAAAAGTTGTGCGTTGAAGCCCGGACAGGTAAGATACAATTTGCCTATGTGTCAAGTAGTAGTTGTCGAGTGTGGGGGGTTGACTTGTCGCAGGCGCTGAAAAGCAACTGTGGGTAAAGGCGATCCAGGGCGAGCTGAACCAGGAGGAAGCCCTTCGGGGCGACATCCGGGCGGCAGAGGCCAAGGAACGGTCCAAGGCCCAGCAGTTGCAGGACACAGTCAACAAGTCGCGCGTGATCAACGAAGAAGCTGCGGCGCTGGATGCGGAAATGGAGGCCACTCTCAAGCAATTCGAGCACTTCAACAGTGTTGGCGACGACGACGACGGCCTCGAAGACGACGAGAGCGACGACGATGTCACGCCTTATGTGGAGTACGAACAATCCATGATACTGTATCCCATGGAAATACGAGTGGTCTGAACTAACTTGAGTTTGAACATGTACTAGATACGTGGATCCCCCAACCAACCATATGGACACCGCCCCCGAGAACTCGCCCATTCGACGAGCGTCCAAGAACAAAGTGCACCCGTTTGCGGCGTCTTTGCAAGATCCAAATCCATCCGATGGCTCTGCCACGTGGCTACCTTGGTCCCGGTGGTGCCGGTGCTTTGCCCCGCGCCCCCCTCTTGACTTGAAAGTGAACCATGACCCGATGCTCACCGACCACGAGCGGAGGTTATACTCGTGCGAGTATTATTCGAACGGAACCATGGACTCGTCGTTGTAGTAGGGAGTGTCGTTGCATTTTATTCATGTACTGTATATATCATCATAAACGTTATCTTTGGCTTGATTTGCACTGGAGCGGGGGGGCGAGATCAAGTAGACGGGGCCAAGTCGATGAATCGCAGCGCGGTGCTGAGGTAATCGAGCGACGCTTTGGACGCCCACGACTTGAGCTGCAACCCCGTCGTGTGCTCGTAGAACCCGCAGTGGCTGCCGTAGGTTGTGAGCGCCAGAAGCGAGTTCGGGTTGATGTCAAAGATGGACCAGTTGATCTGGCCGAAGGGACACACGGGGTCGTCCTTGGCATTGATGCATAGCACTGGCACAGCGATGTTCTCCACGGAGCGCATGGGGTTGTTGTGCTTCCAGTAGGACGCCAGGTCTTTGTACCCGTGCAGCGTCATGTACACATGTCGATCGAATTCGGCCACGGACCGAGATTTCATGGCGGCGGCATAGTCAATGGTAGACGCTAGTGAGTCTTCGTGTTGCCGAAGGAATTTCTACAGCCCAGACCAGTCAATATCATGTGAAAAAGGGTTGTGAGTACCTTGAGGGCGAATGTCAAGATGGAGTTGTACGGGGCGTTGATGCCGCCGTTGCAAAACAATTCCATGGAATCGTACCCTGGTCATGGTATTCGTATTACGACAGATCTCAACGAACGGACGATCGAGGCAATATACGCAGCCGATGACTGGAACATGGGTGGTGGTGATTATGCTGAGCGTACCTGGGGAAACGAACACGCCTGCTTTGAGCTTGGAGTCCTTGCCGGTTTCGCCCAAGTACGAACACAGCAGCCCCGAGCCAGCGGAAAACCCCACGCCTGAAAATATTGTCGTCATGCGCATGAAGATAGAGGATGGCAAGACATACCGACGATAGACGAAGCCGGAAAGAGGCGCTGGATGTGATGGATCACCTCCTTCATATCCTTGACACACCCAAACGCTTGGAGCAGGGGAACGGCCAAGGTCGAGCCTCCGTGCCCGCGCTTGTTGAACACCACGGGGCGGTACCCCGCTTGAAGGGCGTCGGCGCAGAACGAGCGATAGCCATCGCTGCAACCTGCCATGTCATCTCAGAATCGCCTGGGATTTGATGGTGGGTATTACCAGTCAAGCCATGGAGCACCAACACAATGGGCGCGTCTTCCGCCAAATGCGCTGTTCCTTTGCACCAGTCAACGGCAACATGACCACCGTCTTGCAGATGAAGCATTTCTCGCGAGTATTCGACCATGGCTTGGGGCCACACGACTGTCAACAGCACTTGGACGTGCGCGCTCATGGCCCACCAAGGCGGATGGTACGCAGACTGAAGCGTGGCGCAGTTCTAGCCAAGACGTTCATGAAGATGAAAGACATGGAGGAATATGGAGGACGCACGGTGGAGATGAACTGGTTGAGCTTGGAGCTTTCGTTGAACACGAGTCGAATCTTGCTCGCTTCTTCCGTAAAGTAGTAAAACACGAGCCACGACGCGACGGCCGCGATCGCCACAACGGCGTACACCTCCATGTTCCAATGTGCGACGGGGGAAGTTGGGATCTCTGGGAGCAGGGACGTCGTAGCACTCACCATGATTGAAGTCGAACCAGCAACCAACCTTCAACAACAATCGGCGCATTCAAGTTTTAGGGAGGGAGGGGGTGGGGGTCTTTTCCGATGTTGAGTCAACACAATTCCAAGATGAAACGAAATTTTGACCTACCCCCCCCATAAAAAACAAATACTGTAACAACGTGTTTGCCACGTCACATATTCGTCCCTTGCCTTGTGCAATCTCACACCATTTTGCAACGTGCAAACCCTCGTGCTCCATATTCAATGGGAATAATGGCATATTTTGCTGGATAAACTCGGGTGACTGTTTGGTGGGGGGATATTGTATGGGTTAAATACTTGAGCAGGCACTTTCAAACGAATACGCCACCCGTCGACTGTGCAATTCAAAGCCTACATTTTGGTAGGCTTTGTTGGAGGCCGGGTTTGCTGCGTTGGCAAAAAGGCAGATGCGAGCAGCAGTTGGCAGTATGTTTGACTCGAGTAAGTGCCGGCACAGGGCTGCAGTGAGTGCAGAGGCATAGCCCTGGCGTCGCTCTGACGGGGCTACGAACACTGGCCCAATTTTAAACACCGTTTCGCCTTCGACAGTGACGGGGGATGCGTAGCCTGCAAACCCCACTGGATTACCGTCGACTTCCCACACAAACAGCGCATGTCGCTTGAATCCCCTGGCTACAAACGGCGCAGCGTCGTCCGTGGGGGCTTGAATGTATTCCAAGAACTGCATCGACCAGGCCGTGAGTAGGTCGGCATCTCGATCGATGGATGCGGACCGCATAGCTCCAGCCAATTTGGATGGCGACGGAGGCTGCAGATTCCCGAGCACATACATGATCAAGTCTTCTTTCCATGCAGCGGTGGTTGGGCTCGATCGATGGCGGCAATAGCTGGCGTTGAAGGCTGCCGTAGCCGAGTCGTTGCCCATGACTTGAACCAGCAAGAGTTCGACCGTGTTAGCGAAGATTTCCCCCAACTCAGTGGCTTCTTCCATAGACACGGTGGGGCTCAAAAGCAATCCACGACCCGAGCTGTGCATTGCGAACGACGTCACGACCACTCCTCTTTCCAGACTGGTGGCAGAGGCGACAAAGAACCGAACGCCATCGGGGGATCGCACGCCATACGCAATGTCACTGGCAATGGCAGCAATTTGGCTGGAACCAATCGGATCTAGTCGCCGCAAGGACAGCGTGAGGGTGAGAAAGGACTGGGGGTCTCGAATGGCTTCAATCATGACACGCGATGGGGCCAAGGAACTTTGCAGTGTGTGAATTGGACCATGTTGATTGATGGCGTCTACTGCTGTACAACATCCCTTTCAAGCAGCCATAGGAATATATAGGTAGCGTGCAAAGATATTGATTGCTCGATGGACCGCCACACGATTACATTTGTGGTTGCCGATGCAGTGTATGTACCGGTACTACTTTTCGCACATACATATACTACTATTTTAAGAGCATCTCCACCGCATCCCCAAATATTTTTGTCCCCGTCCCTATAATAGAGCCAGTTCACTGTTTTTGGGATGTCTCCAAAAAATCTTCCGTTTTGGTAGGTGTCCCCTTCCCAATTGACCTGAAGCCGGAAGTGCATGGTATGACATCGAGAGGCTGCCAAGTTCGCTCTGGAATGGAGTTATGAACGGTGTTTGCCTC